GTGATGGTGATGATGGTGGTGATGATGGACATGATGATAGTGGTGATAGTGGTGATGGTGATAATGGTGGTGATGAGGAGGATGGTGGTGATGATGGACATGATGATAGTGGTGATGGTGGTGGTGATGGTGATAATGATGGTGATGATGAGGATGGTAGTGATGAGGAGGAGGATGGTGGTGATGATGGACATGATGATGGTGATGATGAGGATGGTGGTGATGATGATGGTGATGATGAGGATGGTGTTGCTGGTCATGTTGATGGTGGTGATGGTGGAGAGGAGAGTGTGACTGTGGTGCATGTGATAGTGGTGATAGTAGCTGTGGTGAGGACAGTGATGGTGGTGGCGGTGATGATGATGGTGATTTACATTGTGTATACCCACAATATATAAAAATGTACTTGTAATTGTGTTATTCATGCTACACATATCATCATAATACACTTTACATATAGTTACACATAGAAATATGGATGCTTCAGCATGTATTGTATAAGGAGACAGACATGGCCGGTGAAACAGCTCAGTGGATAAAAAACGCTTGCTGCTAAGCTGGGGGACCTGAGTTCAGGGAGCAAAACAAGGCTTTGCATCCCTGGTGGGAGGAGGGGACTGGTGCCAAGCTCCATAGGCAACACAACAGCCATAAAGACGTTGAAAGGACCCAGGTAATCACATCGCAATGCACTCATATTTACATCTGTGCCCAACACAACAACCACCGCCTGCTCATCACATCAATTTCCTTTGTTTCTCTTCTTTCAAAGCTTTCAGTGCTTCTAGTGAGAACTAACGGTTTCGGTTTGGGGTTCCTCCAGTTTTTGTTTATAGTGTGTGTATGTGTTCATTTTGTGTAAGTAATGTTTTTGTCTGCTTTCCCAGCCAGAATACATACAGAGCAGATGGGTTCAAGGTAGAACTCTGTAACATGATCGGCTGGCCATTTGTAACATGGGGGGGCCTGCTTGTTTGTTGGGGTTTCTGTCCCTCCCGGTACCCCCACAGCCTGCAAGCCCCAAATAAAATCACACAAAGATCTCTAAAGTTATAAATCTGATTGGCCCATTAGGTCAGGCTACTTATTAGCTCTTGCAGCTTTTATTAACCCACTATTCTGATCTATATTAGCCATGTAGCTCAGTACCTTTTTCAGTGAGGCAGATCACATCCTGTTGCTTCGGTGGTCTGGGCAAGAGTGGGAGAAATCAACTTCCTCCTTCCCAGAATTCTCCTGTTCTCCTTGCATCATTTCTACTTTCTGTTAGGTTTTCCTGCCTATACCTTCTGCCTGGCCAATCAGCGTTTATTTAAAACATGATTGTCAGAATACAGACCATTCTCCTGCACCAGAACTCCTACCTTGTTCTTCACCATTGTAGCCTTAGAACTCTTCACATAATAGGTACTCAATAAATGCTTATTAAATATTCAAGCACATAACAAGGAAGGGATAAAGCAGCCCTGTCTAGATTTACCTGCAATTATGCCCTCCCCTCATTTGCAACACATCATTTAAGATTCTAAGCTGTAAATCTAACAATTACTTTGTGACCCCACACCAATAGACATTCAGAAGATATAGGTAATCACATCATGCTATAGTTATATATTTACATTGGTATTTGGTATTTTTTTTTAGTGCATTCAAAATAAACTGTAGTCTTCGCCTCTGGTTCCTGAACCTTCTACCAACTCCCCAATCCCATTCCTACAGGCATATTTCTCCTGACTAGCCCCAGCACCCACAAGTCTGTTTGGTCTCTGGACTCTCCTGCTGTGGACATTTCCCATTTCGAGTCCCATGCTGTGTGGCCTTTGGTGTCTGGTTCTTACACTGAGTGTGGTGTAGGTCACATTGTGGCCCTGGTTTCATTCCTTTTTCAGTTGACTTCATTTTTCTGGTTTTTAAAACATTGCATTAAATACTATTAATTTATTCTTGGGCTTCCCTTTACTTAAATATTCTTTTTACACTTATTGTGCATGTGTGTATGTATGTGTATACATATGTGTGCATGTGAATGTATGTGTGCATTTGTGTGTATGTGCATGTGTGTGTGTGCGTGCAGGTCAGAAGATGTGTGTATGTATGTGTGTGTTTGTTTGTGTGTATGTATTTGTGTGCAGGTCAGAAGACAACTTGCGGGAGTTGGTTCTCATTTCATCCAGTGAATCCCCTGGATTGAACTCAAGTCCCAAGGCTTGGCAGCAAGCTCCTTTATCTCTGAGTCCTCCTGACAGCCTTTCTCTTAACCTTTGCATATGAGGCTGACACCCCACTCGGTTTCTACCCTGGTGCTCACAGAGATGAATGTCTAGTGTGAGCTCAGGAAAATACCCATCAAAGCAAACAGTTAAGTTCCAGGGACCCCCCCCCCCCAAAAGCCTGAACTGCACGCTAGTCCTTTGCCCCTTGGCATGACTGACTCAGGTTTGTCCCTGTAGGTATGCGGGTCCCATGGAACGAGCAGGAGCCGAGGGCACCCTCATCAACCGCTCTGACGGGACCTACCTGGTGCGGCAGAGGGTGAAAGATACAGCAGAATTCGCCATCAGCATTAAGTAACTTCTCCCTCTCTGCCCACGCCTCCTCTGACCTGGGCTTCTCCCTCCCTGCCCATGCCCCTCTGACCTGGGTTCCTCCCTCCCTGCCCATGCCCCACTGACCTGGGCTCCTCCCTCCCTACCCATGCCCCTCTGACCTGGGCTCCTCCCTCCCTGCCCATGTTCCTCTGACCTGGGCTCCTCCCTCCCTGGCCATGCCTCCTCTGACCTGGGCTCCTCCCTTCCTGGCCATGTTCCTCTGACTTGGGCTCCTCCCTCTCTGACCACGCCTCCTTTGACATGGGCTCCTTCCTGCATGACCACGCCCCCTCTGACCTGGCCTCCTCCCTCTCTGACCACACCTCTTCTGACCTGTACTCTCTCTCTGACCACGCCCCCTTTGACCTGGGCTTGCCAAGGATGTCTAGGCTTTACCTTATGAAAGTGTGCATTGTCTACCTGCACCTTTTATTGAACTACTGCATTCTACCATTTTTACGTCCCTGCTCTTCTCCCCCTTACCTTGTCCCCTCTTCTTTCCCCCTCCCCTTGCCCTTGCTTTTTTTTTTTTTTTATTTTGCCTCTCCTCTTATTTGAGGTCAGCGCTTTTAGCTTTGATGTGTGTGTTAGCTGTGGTCTTTGTCTTCCTGTGTCTGGCTTATTACACTTCATAACATCCACCACTTCCTCCGTGTTGTAAATGACAGGGTATCATCGCTTCCATGGCTCGATCAATTCCTGTGTGTGTCTGTCATAGTTGCTTCATCTATTAGTTGATTCTATGTCCTGGGTGTTGTTGATAGTTCTGCAACAAACACAGGCCTGTTGGTATCACATGGCTCTGCTGACCGTTTGCCCTTGGGACGTGAAATCCAGCTGCTTAGGGCAGATCTCGTGGGCCCCAGGCTTCACCGACTTACGTCCCGCCATTGAGCTGTGACTCTGACTTGCACTCTTTAGTTTGTGGACATGTATGTGGGCGTTTGCCCGTGTGTCCACATGTGGAGGCTGTAGGCGGATGTCAGGTGTTTTTAAGAAATTAAAAGTTGCATTTATCTATTTGTGTTGTGTGAGGGTGTGTCTGCCACAGCCGGCACGTGGTGGTCTTTGGCAGTTTGGGGGGTCAGGTCTCTCCTTCCACCATGCAGGTCTCAGGGGTTGAACTCCCATTGCTAGTCTTATGGAAACCCTTTAAGCATGGAGCCATCAACAGCCCTTGCTTGAGGTGTCCCCCTCCCCCCTGCCCTGCCTCTGAGACAGGGTTTCTCTGTACAGCACTGACTGTCCTGGAACTCACTCTGTAGACCAGGCTGGCCTCGAACTCAGGGATCCACCTGCCTCCTGAGTACTGGGATTAAAGTCGTGTGTCACCACCGTGCCCAGCTTCTCTTTCCATTTTTGTTGTTCTGTAATTCACGATAACAAAACCCCTTTTCTTCCCATCCTGCCTATTCTGCCATCTTTTGTGGGGAAAACATGGTGGTAGGGGCACGGGGCCGTGGGGAAGGCCACCCACACAGGCCAACCTGGCGAGGGCATTTTCTCAACTGGTGATCCCTCTTTCAAAATGACTCTAGTGTGTGCCAAGTTGATGTAAAACTAGCCAGCGCAGAGATGAGTGCTGGGTTCACTTTCTCTTTTTTTGCTTGGTTCAGAGCTTCAGTCCCTGGGATGTTGCCACCCACGTTCAGGGTGGGGCTTGCCCTGTCAGTTAACTGCCTCACAGATAGGCCCAGAGGCTGTCTATGGTGGTTCTAGGTCCTGTCAGCTTGACACTCAGGGAGAAAAAAAACAAACAGCAAACAAGATGAAGAACAGAAGGCTTAGAATAGCAGAGACCCGGAAGGGGTGGATTGCACTGTTGCTGTCTCTAGATGTCAGGGCCCCCTTCCTCTAAGGAGTCCGGCTTGGTCCTTCTTCCATTCTTGGGGCTTCTAGTCTGGGTAGAGGCATGGGAGAGAGCCTCAGACTCAGGACTCAGCCATCTGATTTTCCCTCTCCCTTGTTCCAGGTATAACGTCGAGGTCAAACATATTAAAATCATGACGTCAGAGGGGCTGTACCGGATCACGGAGAAGAAGGCTTTCAGGGGCCTTCTGGTAAGGGCCACTGCCCCCACCCCCACAGAAGCCATTCAGAGAGCGTGAGGCACGTGTCTGCCCCTGTGTCTCAGGGTCCTCACTATGTAGTTAGAGAAGCCCTTCCCAGGGAACCACCGACCATAAACTCATCCCTGTAAGGACCCACAATGTGGGAAAGACAGTTAGGACAGGATAGTGTCAGGTGGTCACAGTGGTATTTGTTGATGTCCAACAGACTGAGCTGGGGAGAAGGTTCATGGATAAAGTTCCTGAGAGCCTGGGTTGGATCCCCAGAACCCATGTAAAAGCCGAGTATGGCGGTGCTTGCCTGTGACCCCAGCTCTGGGGAGTTGAAGACAGACAAGTGGATACCCAGGGCTTGCTTCTGAGATTGGTAGGCAACCAGGAAGCTCCAGGCTCCACGAGAGGCCCTGTCTGAACATATACGGTCTCAGAGTGTGATAAGGGAGGACCCCTGAAGCCCACCTCTGGTCTCCACATGCATGTCCATACCTACATACAGATGTGTGCAAACTCACCCCACCTCCAGTCAGCCCACCCTCTGCCTTCCTGTCCCACAGGCTACCAGAGCCCGTATGGTTACAGGTCTCCAAACTGGACCCATTTGACCCAAGCGACTGCCTGTCTTGTTGAGAATTTATGAGCGAGTGTTCACCTGGTGGTTGGTGTACTGTTAATTCTTTTTATCTCCCTCAAGGCATTTAAAACTGATTGGTGTGTGTAAGTCACATGGGCGTTACCCATGATCAGTAGACCTTTGAAGAAACTGAGGACATGGACAGAAAATTCATAACTTAAAAAATTACATTTTATTTATTTATTTATGTGTGTGTGTGTGTGTGTGTGTGTGTGTGTGTGTGTGTGTGTGTCAGAGGACTCTGTTGAATCAGGTCTATCTTTCCACCATCACATGGGTTCTGGGGCCTGGGGATGGAATGTGTCCCACTGAGCCATCTCACCGACCCTGTGCACCAATTTTATTTTTAATGATATTGGCATTTTTTAGTCTGGAGTTCTTGAATGGGACAGTGGGTGTTTGTGGAACACCCTTGAATTTGGGTCCAACTGATTCTTTGTCATCAGTATGAGCCATTTGTGGGAAAAAAACCCATAAATCCAACAAACTGAGGAGCTGAAATCAAATCTAAAGTCTTTTGCGGAGGTCAGATCTGAGCTACGAATCTCAGCTGCCACTCATGATTAGACTTAGTGTCTCTGTGTCTAAAATGAGAGCATGCGGGCAAGATGACTCCGTGGGTAAAAGTGATCACCAACTAGGAACACACGTGGTGGAATGGGAGCACTGAGCAAGTTGACCTACGACCTTCACATGCTCTCTGTAACACCCCCCACCCCAGCGTGCTCAACGCTCAGGGTTCCCTGGAAGCCTTGGTAATGTGTGCTGCACACACTGGCTGGTGCCTATGTGATTATTAGTTTTACAGGCATGGGCACTGACGGGAGGCCTTGACTTTGGTGAACTTATTTGTTAAACTTGGCAGGAAGCAAAATGAAGTGGCTGCTTGGAGAAGCGGCCTTGGCTTGAGGTAGTCTACTGTTTACTCTGTTCACCGCTGTGACCAAACGCCTGGCGAAGAGGGATGGACAGGTTCTTCCGGCTCAGGAAGGCTGGGGACTGTCCTGGAAGGGGGCATCGTCGCACTGCGGCCTTAGAGAGCACAGGGAGATGGATTTTGGCGCCCAGCTTGCTTTCTCCTTTTCATTCTCCCTGGGATGGCAGCCATGGGTAGTGCCACCCACATTCAGGTGGCTCTTCCCACCTTATCTAACTCAGTGCAGCCAGGCCCAGAGGTTAGTGACTGTCAATATGACCCATCGCAGGGCCCCTTCTGCAGACCATCCTGGCTGTTCTAGTAGAGGAAGGAGTTCCCCATCATAGGGAGCTGATTGGACTGCGGATGAGAGCTAAGCTGTGCTCTGCTGTGGGCTGGCCAGCTGGGTTAACAACTGCTCTGTGTGATTTTCCCAGGAACTGGTGGAGTTTTATCAGCAGAATTCTCTCAAAGATTGCTTCAAGTCGCTGGATACCACCTTGCAGTTCCCTTACAAGGAGCCTGAGAGGAGAGCCATCAGCAAACCGCCAGGTAGGAGGACGCCCCCAGGCTGGAGGATTGCACAGCACCTTCTCGGGGTTCCAGGGCCTGCCTGCCCCCACTTTTGGTTTTAGTAACTATTTTTCAAATGCTTATTTATGTGACTTTGTGTGATGTTGGAGGTTTCTCCTTTTATTTGTTAAAGATTCGTTTATATACGTGTCATGTATGTTGCAGAGCAGGTGTTGGGTTCACACGTGTCTGTGGGAAGAAGAGTGAGTTTAGCCTTTTGTGACTGCAGGGAATTCAGCCTCTCAGGACGGAAGCACTTTCCCTTGGCCCAGGCATTTCTATGTTGCTCTATATTTGTAGTCTACCCAGTTGATTTCCATAGGTTCAGAGCAATCTGAATGACGTTTTCAAAAATACAATGACAAGTGCAAATTCTTGGTTCATGGGGTATCCCAGTTTTCTGGTTTCCACAAACCAAGCTTTGCATAGGCTTTGTATTCTTGGCAAACTATCAGACAAGATTCACATAGGGTGGCAAAAGACATCTGCTAAACAAAAGATGGATTAGGGCCGGGTACTAGCACTCCAGAGCCGGATGAGGAGTAGCCCAGTGGGGATTGCTGCTGGATACTAACACTCTGGTACCAGGCAAGGTGTAGTTCAGTTGGTATGCTGCCGTGTGTGTGTGTGTGTGTGTGTGTGTGTGTGTGCGTGCCACATGAGTACTGCCTTAGTTAGGTTTCTGTTGCTGTGAATAGACACTATGACTACCTCAACTCTTAGAAAGGAAAGCATTTCATTGGGGTGACTGGCTTACAGTTTCAGAGGTTCAGCCCATTATCATGGTGGGGAGCTGGTGACATGTAAGCAAACATGGTGCTGGCTATATCTTGATCATAAAGCAACAAGATGTGGACAGAGGCACTGAGCATGGTTTGGGGATGTGTGAGACCTGAAAGCCCACCTGCTCAGTGACATACTTCCTCCAACAAAGCCACACCCACTCCAGAAAGGCCACACCTCCTAATAGTGCCATTCTCTATGAGCTTAAGGGGTCAATTATATTTAAACTACCATATTCCACTGCCTGGCCCCCAGAAGCTTGTAATAATATCATAATGCAAAATGCATTTAGTTCAACTTCAAAAGTTCCCAAAGTCTATCACAGCCTCAACTATATTTAATAGTTCAAAGTCTCTTCTGAGATTCATGCAATCTCTTAATTATAATCCCTATAGAATCAAAATTTAAAACAAGATCATATATAATGGCACATGATATATGTTACCGTTTTAAAACGCAGGAAAGGGGTCACAGTGAGGAAATACTGGACCAAAGTAAGATCAAAAAACCAGCTGGATGAACGCCAAGCACTGCATCTCCGTGTCTGATGTCAAGGTGCTCTTCAGATCTCCAACTCCATTCTGCTTTGTTGACTGCAACACGCTCGTTCTCTTGGGCTGGTTCCACTCTTTGTTAACAGCTCTCCTCAGCAGGTGTCCCACGACTCTGGCATCTCCGATATCTTGGGTTCTCTAAGGCAACCTAGGTTCAACTTCACAGCTTCACACAATGGTCTCTTGGGCCTCCATTCAGGAACGTCCCTGGTATATGCCTGGCCTCAGTGACTTTCTTTAGGTACAGAGGCAAATTCCATAACCCATTTCTTCTCTCCTTAATTCTAAAGCCAGAACCATGTGGCTGAAGCTGTCAACTTCTGCTTCTTGCTGGAGCTGGACCATGGCTCCTTGTTCAGTAACCTCTTCACCGGCTTTCTGTTTTTGATTGTTGCCTTTACTGCCTAAGCTTGGCTGTTTTGGAACTTGGTCTGCAGACCAAGCTGGCCTTAAACTCAAGAGACACACTTGCCTCTGCCTTCTGAGTGCTGGAATTAAAGTTGTGCACTACCATACCCAGCCCAAAGCTTTTCTTTAGGTCCTTTTCACAAGTCAGAAACTTATCTGGGTGGGATCTTCCCTGAGGTCACCATTCCCTTTATCCAGTTTCTTAATCTTTTATCTACTTGAACACAGGAGTTAGCTCCATTTTATTTCCTGGTGCCCCTTCTCTCAGTCTGTACATTTTATATTTCTGTTCTCTCAGCTTGCTTCTTTTCATTATAAATCTTCATTAGAGTTACCACTATTAGCCGTACGACAGAGTCTTTATTAGGTTGTTTGGAGATTTTTTTTTTTCTGTGAACACAATTAATTCAAAACTCTTCATTTTAGCCTCAGGCAGACTTTTTGGACAAGGGCAAAAAGTAGCCACATTCTTCACCAAAATATCACAAGTACAATCTCTAGGCAACATATTAAAATTTGTCTCCTCTGAAACCTCTTGTCTTCTGTCCATAGTTCAGATAACTCAGCACTACTGCCTTCCACGCTCCTACTAGTATGGCCAATTAAGCCATGCTTAAGGCATTCTACTGCTTTCCCAACCCAAATTACCAAAGTCCAAATCCTTCCAAACAAAAATATGGTCCAGCTTATCACAGCAATACCCCAGTTCCTGGTACCAACTTCTGTCTTAGTTTGGGTTTCTATTGCTGTGAAGAGACACCATGACTACAACAACTCTTATACGTTGTGGTGATTGCTTACAGTTTCAGAGGTTCAGGACATTATCATCACATCAGGGAGCACAGCAGCATGCAGGCAGACATGGAACAGACTACATCTTCATCAGAAGGCAATAGGAAGTGAACGGAGACACTGGGCATGGCTTGGACTTGTATGAGACTTCAAAGCCTGCCCCCACAGGGTCACACTTCCTCCAACAAAGCCACACCCACTCCAGCAAAGCCACACCCACTCCAGCAAAGCCACACCCACTCCAACAAAGCCACACCCACTCCAGCAAAGCCACACCCACTCCAGCAAAGCCACACCCACTCCAGCAAAGCCACACCTCCTAATAGTGCCCTCCACTGTGAGCCTGTGGGGGCCAGTTGCACGCAGACTAACACAAGAACAGTTCTGTAGTGTAGATGGCATTGTAGCCCCTGGAGCTGGAGTTACAGGTGGTTGTGCGCTGTCCAGCTTGGGTGCTGGGAACTGAACTCAGGCCCTCTGGAAGAGCAGCAAGTGTTCTTAATCACTGAGCCATCTCTCCAACCCCTATTTTTAATTTTTAATCGTGTGTATACATGTGTATCTGTGTATGGCTCTGTGAACTTGAGTGCAGTGTCCACAGAATCTGGAAGAGAGTGTTGGATTTCCAGGAACTGGAGTTACAGGTGGTATTGGGTACTGGGAGTTGAACCCCTGATCCACCTCTCTAGCCACTCTTAATCACTTTTTAAAATATAATTAGCTCTCTCTGTGTATCTGGGTTTAAATATGAAGGTTAAGGACTCAGATGTGCAGAAATTGACTGTACATAAAACACTATTAAAATGATTTAAAACCTGGTCTCACCAGGTATGATCTTCTTCTTTCTTTTATGCCCTGGCAATACTGAAGCATGCATGGGCAGCCCGTATATGGCAGTTCTGCTGAACTTGTACATAATGGGTTTCACGGTTTAAGTTGATGAGGATGACTGACCAGGTCTCTTCCTCAAGAGGGCACCAGATCTCATTACAGATGGTTGTGAGTCACCATGTGGTTGCTGGGAACTGAACTCAGGAGAGGCAGAAGAGTAGGCAGCGCTCTTAACCACTGAGCCATCTCTCCAGTGTTTTATGTGTTTGTTCACGTGTACTCTGCTCACTTTTCTCCACTCTTATTCTGCCTGAGACCCCTCCCCACACGCACTCTCCTAGGGAATGGTGCCACTCACGGTGGACTGGATCTTCCTCATCAATTCACTTTATTAAGACAACCCTCATAGACACGCCCACAGGCCAACACAATGCAGACATCCCTCTCAGAGACTCTCTCCTCAGGTTATCCTAGGTTAACTATCACAGAAGCCCTTCATCTAGGCGGCACCATCCGGAGAGCATGCCTGCTCTCTGCACTGTCCCGAGATGATGCCTGGTGTTTGTCTCAGATGCTTAGACATTTCATTTTCTCTTCACAGCTGGAAGCACCAAATATTTTGGTACTGCCAAAGCCCGCTATGACTTCTGTGCCCGGGACCGATCAGAACTGTCACTTAAGGAGGGTGACATTATCAAGATCCTCAACAAGAAGGGACAGCAAGGCTGGTGGCGTGGGGAGATCTATGGCCGGGTGAGGCAGGAGGGGGGATGGTTGACTAGGTGGGGTATGTGGTATGCAGCTTGGCTGTGAGGGGATAGAGTATGTCTCCCATGCTCACCCCTAGTCAGAGGATCAGAAGGACGCTGAGATTTAAGATTTAACATATTTTCCCTGCCCACATTTATTTATTGAGAAACTTCTATGAGCTAGAGATTTTTCTGAGTGCAAAGGGAGCATTGTCCAGTTGCTATCTTTATGAGACAATGTTTAGTGAGATCATGTGGACCTCTAACCAGACAGTCACACCAGGGAGTGGGCAGGATGGTGACAGGAAATAGGACCTAAGAGAGCTCCTCATCCACCCTTCTAGACATTAGGGTGATGAGAGACTAGGTGGATAAGGAATGAAAAGGTTAAATGGATAAAATGACAGCCAGCAGGCCGGAGAGGTTCTCAGCTGGTAAAGTGCTTGCATTACAAGTTTAAAGACCGAGTTCAATCCCCCAGAACCATTCATCCATTAGTTCATTCATTGCCCAGAACCCACCCATCCATCCACCCACTCATCAACCCACTCATTCATTCACCCATGCATCCATCTATTGGCATACTTATCATCCACCCATCCACCCATCTATCCATCCATCCATCCATCCATCCATCCATCCATCCATCCATCCATCCATCCACTCATCAACTCACTCACTCACTCATTCATCCATCCATGTATTCATCCATCCACCCACCCACCCATCCACCCATCCACCCACCCACCCATCCATCAACCCACCCATCCACCCAACCATCCACCGATCCATCCATCCATCCATCCATCCATCATTCACCCACTCACCCATCTATCCACCTGTCTTCTCAACATTACAAGAAATATTTAATAAAGTGTTTACTAAACACTGGGGCCTACTCTAGGCTCTTGGGAGTCTGGTGAGTAGGAGACAAAACCCTCCACCCTTGTCAACCTTATACTGTGATGGGGGAGGGGAGTTGGCTTAGCAATTAATCCTGTCAATAAGCAGAATATGTAATCATTTATGATTACATCTTGATTACATAATGCTGATGGGTTCTCTGGAGAACAGTCAAGGAAAAGGTGGTAGTTGTGTGTGGAGTGGGTGGGGCTTATCAGGGTAACTGGAAAGCTTCACTGACACATGAGCAGAGACTTGAAAGACAGAGGGCTATCATCGGTCATGCATGGTGGAATGTCAACAGGTGTGAAGGTCCCAAGGCAGGAGGGGTCTAGCCTACTGTGATGAGGACTGAAGACGGCTAGTTTTCCTCATGGGGTTCTCTTCTCCCTCCAGATTGGCTGGTTCCCTGCCAACTATGTGGAGGAAGACTATTCTGAATACTGCTGAGCCTGGTGCCCTACAGGACAGAGAGAGAGGCAGATGTATGCTGAGTCCAGGACGCCGGCAAGGTTGAGGGGCCATGAACAGTCCTCGGTGGTAGAGCTTCCGGATGCAGAGCAGACAGCCAGTGGCCAGCTGGCAGGCTTCCCAGGATGAAGGATGGTTAATTTATAACACACTGATTGTCTCGAATGCCCCAAGGAAGATGGGGCTTGAGGCAACTGCTTCTAATAAAATGAGAAGAACAGGCATTGGTGTGCTCCAGACCATCTATAAGGGGAGCCACGGGTGGGTGCTCATTGACAACAGTTCACTCAGCAGCACTGTCACCTTTCTCAGCCTTTACAGTATAGGTTGAGAGGGACCTGGGATTCCTCCCTAGCAGGAGAGAGTGCTGTGCTTATGGGGCTGGGATTACAGAGATCAAGTCTACACCTCTCCCTCCCTTCTTTTCTGTCCTCTGTGCTGAAGATGGACATCTTGGCCCTAGTGTTGTAGGCAGACACACCACTTCTGAGCTCCTCACTGGGGATTCTAGGCGGGGCTTCACCCTGACCACGCCCCCAGCCCCTCACTGGGGGATTCTAGGTGGGGCTGCACCCCTGACCACATCCCTGGCCCCCACTAAGGGATTCTAGGAGGGAGCTCCACTGCTGTACCATAACGCTAGTCACTTTTAGTCACTTTAAAATCTTTGAGACAGGGTCTTGCTCTATAGCACAGACTGGTCTTGAACTCATTCTAGGCCAGGCTGACCTTCAACTTGTCATCCTCCTGCCTCAGCCTTTTGAACTTCCTAAACAACAAACTTTTTATCAGCATTCCTTTTTTAAAAAACAATCTTTTTTAATTTACCTTCCAATCCCAGTTCCCCCTCGCTCCCCTCCTTCCACTCCCCCAACACCTCCCCATTGCACCACCACCCACTCCTCCCATGGGGAGTCAACAGTCTGTCACATCATGTTGAGGCAGGACCAAGGCCCTCCCTGTTCTCTAAGACCGTTTGTTTGTTCCTGGCTGCCCAGACTCCCAAAATAAGTAAACAGAAACTGTATTAATTAAATCACTGCTTGGCCCATTAGCTCTAGCTTATTATCTAGCTCTTACATCTTAATCTAACCCATTTCTATTATCTGTGCATCGCCATGTGGCTGTGTGGCTTAACTGGCAAGGTTCTGGCATGTCTGTTCCTGGTAATGGCTACATGGCATCTCTCTGACTCCACCTTCTTTCTCCCAGATTCAGTTTCATTTTCCCCACCTAGCTCTATTCTACCCTATCACAGGCCAAGGCAGATTCTTTATTCATTAACCAATAAAAGCAACACATATACAGAAGGACCTCCCATACCATTTCCCTTTTTCTGTTTAAATAAAAAAGTAGGTTTTAAATTTAGCACAGTAAAATTACATATAACAAAACAGGTATCAAGCACGAATTGCAGTTACAATATTTATATCTACCTTATCTTTTATCATAACTAAGGAAAACTATAACTATCTATTCTTCAACTCCACCAAAGACCCCAGAAGGATATAATATTACCTAAGTTGACAGGAAGTTCATTGTAAGCAACTTCCAAAACTCTAGAATTGACAGAGACATCTCATTGCCTGGACAGTCACCTAAAGTTCTTCTGTTTTGTTGGGGCATCCAATCTTCAGCCAGCAGGCCCATAGTATCTGGCAGACTTTTCCATGAAGCAGGAAATTTGAAGAACTGTTCTGCCTTGTAATGGCAAAGTCCATCAGTTGCTTTCTTCTGTGTCCTGTAGACTGTCTGGCAGACTCTTTCCTGAAGCAGAAACCCTGAAGGTGATCTCACCATTAGGCAAGTTCAGCAGTCTTTTTTTTTTCTGTGAGTCCTGCATGTCTAGCTCATTAGGTAGTCCAGGCAAGAGCAGTTTCTTGCCCAAATGGCTAGCAAACTCCATAAGGAGCCTCTTTGATGCCCATCTTCCTCTTGAAGTAATTGGTGCTGTAGGGAGCAGATGTGTCTCATTGTCATGAAAAGTTCTAAGTTTTAAAAACATTTTAAATGCCATATTCTGTAGTCTTTGAAAGATTTGAAGATTATCTAACTGAAATATATATATGTATATATATTTAGAAAAACTAACATGACTATAAACTTGACCATTATAGATGATTATCTATTAACCTGTATTTCTTAATTATACATTATATTTTTAAATGAGCTGTACAAATGCAATACTTTAATCAAGAGCAGAAATATATATATACCTTTAATTTGTATCAACAAACCAAGATCCATACCACTGCAAATCTCTTTAGCATATATATCCCCCTTTAAATCTAAACAAACATTTATAAACAATATTTGGGAATTTGGGTGTAGTTCTCTCCAAACTGCTTCCTACTTTTTGTTGGATGAAGTAATATTTGAGGGTGTTCATGGCAACTTTTCAGAGGGTGCATCAAACCATATCAGTCTGGAATTAATTCACAGGTTCTCATTGATGTTCTTTTCTGCGGAAACGAAAAAAAGCCATGAGGTACAAACAAACCCATGTGTATAATTTTATTACAGGGAGGGGCATGCAGGATGGTGAAGGTGGGGAACAGGAAGGAGAAAAGAGAGCAAAAGTACCGCGCTTTGCCTTTTAAAGGCCACCCCAGCATACGCGCATCAGACGCTGCTTTCTGCATCTGCATCTCCACATGGGGGCCCTTTGCGTTGGATGCTGGGTACATGTGCTTCTGGGAAATGAAGTATTCCAAGTCAGGCGGGCGATACTGTACTCTGTGCCTGTGCACAGGGGCCTCCTGGGAAATGTAGTTCCCCAGGAGAATAACACTCATCTTCTGTGGAAACAAAAGCAGAACCTCTTTTCTAAAACAACATATCCTTAGACTCAAATTCTGAAGTCAAGATACCTTTATGTTTGGTTTAACATAGCAGTCCATACAAGGAAATGCTTCTCTGTACTTAGCTCCTTCACAATTAAAAAATTCAAAGAAAACACAATAATATACATAATCCAGACTCTGTATATATATTCCATCTTTTACATGGCTTATTTTCCTATATTCCTATTATTTTTTCTACAAGTTTACTCTGTCTCTTTAAAGACTTGGTTTTATTTTTTTTTTAAAAGTGATTTATTTCTTTTTATAACTTTCTATACTCTTTTTCTTCTCTCTCCTAAGCCTATGTACATTTTTTAAATATACTGTGTCTCATTTAGAGGTCTTTTATGTCTGAATCTGTCATTATTATATATCTACAAACCTTCTCTGTTATGGAGAGCTTTGAAAATGCTAAGCATCTTGGTCTCAGTGGCCCTGAGTGCTGGTTCCCCCTCTCTCAGGCTTTAAATATGGTGGAGGCAGTTCACCATAGGTTCTAGGACCACCAGGTAGGAGCTATCCTCACCACCTCAACTCTGGGTAGCACTGTGCAGCATATAAACCCTTTTTATCTGAGTAAAAGCTAAATCTGCCATGCCACTCACTGCACGGCCTGGGAATATCTCTGTGTATGGCAGTGGAAATCCACCATGCTCTCCTGCCTGTGCATGCCTAGCAGGCTCCATCTCACCACCTGCCCAGGCAGGGTGTGCTGAGCCCTGGGCACGGTCTCAGCTTCTTTCCTCTCGACTCCGAGTGGGCACATAAGCATCCAGACTTGAAGTGGGTGGCAGGCATCAACCCTAAAAAAAGAGCCAAAGTTTGTGCTGGCACCACGAACCAGGAAGCTGCCATTTCAAAACCGCATGGTTTTTTGTTTTTTGTTTTTGCTACTGCGGAATCAGGAAGACCTCTTTTAAAGAAGCCACCAGCAAACAGAGCAAGAAGTTGCATTAAACTTTTGTTGTTTTGCGACTAGGATTCCTTTCCAAACTTTCTCAGGTTTTGTGTGGATTTAGCCACATTGGAGTGCCAATTTGTTGTAGAGACTGCTTGTTTATTCCTGGCTGCCCAGACGTCAGAAGTAACCACACAGAAACTGTATTAATTGAATCACTGCTTGGCCCATTAGTTCTAGCTTCTCATTAGCTACCTCTTACATCTTAATTTAACCCATTTCTATTAATCTGTGTATCACCACGTGACTGTGGCTTACAAGAAGGTTCTGGCATGTCTGTTCCCAGCAGCAGCTACATGGCGTCTCTCTGACTCCACCTTCTTTCTCCCAGATTCAGTTTAGTTTTTCCCACCTAGCTCTATTCTACCCTATCACAGGCCAAGGCAGATTCTTTATTCATTAATTAATAAAAGCAACACACATACAGAAGGACCTCCCACACCATTCCCCACCACATCTAGGCTGAGCACAGTATCCCTCCATAGCAAATGGGCTCCAAAAAGCCAGTTCACGCACTAGGGATAAATCCTGACCCCACACCCCAAGCTGCACAATTGTCTCCCACATCAGAGGGCCTAGTTTGGCCCTATGCAGATTCTCCAGCTTTCAGGCCAGAGTCCGTGAGCTCCCAGTAGTTTGGGATTAGCTGTCTTTGTGTTTTTCCCCATCATGGTCTTGACCCCTTTGCTCATTTTATCACTCCTCCCTCTCTACAACTGAACTCTGGGAGCTCAGCCCAGTGCTTAGCTGTGGATCTCTACATCTGCTTCCATCAGTTACTGGATGAAGGTTCTATGATGGCAATTAAGGTGGTCATCAATCTGATTACAGGGGAAGACCACTTCAGGCATCCTCTCCACTATTGTTTAGAGTCTTAACTTGGGTCATCCTTGTGTATTCCTGGGAACTTTCCTCGCACCAGGTTTCTCGCTAACCCCGTAATGACTCCCTCTATCAAGATATCTCTTTCCTTGTTCTCCCCCTCTGTCCTTTCCCCCAACTTGACCATCTTGTTCCCTCATGTTCTCCTCCCCCTTCCCTTCTTCTTTCTTCTCTCCCCTTCCACCCTTCTCCCTCCCTCATGCTCTTAAATTTACTCAGGAGATCTTCTTTATTTCCCATTCCCAGGGGTATCCATGTGTCTCTCTCTTAGGATTCTCCTTGTCACCTAGCTTCTCTAGGGTTGTGGACCATCATTCTTGATTTGCTTTTCTTATAATAGAAGTTAATATTTTGAGTTCCCTCCTTCCACATTATGCTGAGCAAAGGAAACAATTTTCATATATACTCTCCAAAAATCTAGCTAAAATCCTACAACCCTTGTCCCTGGTGTGCTGGGGAGACAACTGGCTTTCTTCTGTCACCTCACTTCCTGCAGGGGCATTGCTTGCACTGGAGCCCTTGACACGTGTCAGACACTGGC